GTAACAAGGCATTGATCCTGCCTTTACACCTGAAAGCACAATGTTTCTGTGCCCATGTATTGCTGCACTGATTGCAACGGGGCGTTTATGACAGCAGGATCAGGGACTTGTCCTTTAGCTTGCTTTTAATAAAATAAATGGAACAGAAAATGCATTGAAATAAAACAGTAGAAACCCACCAACAATTCTGAGCTGTAACTCTTCCCTTTTAGAGGGCTCATTGATGGAAAATATGACGAAAGACCCATGTCAGGGCCTGAGCAATGCCTGAGTGGTTCCCGTCACTGCTCAGTAGACACAAGGTGATTTAGGTCTTGCATCACCCTCTGCAACTGGGCTGCAGCGGGCTGAAGCAATGCTCACCAAAGTCACTGGACATCTCACCAACAATCTCACTTTCAGTAGGCATTGGACCAAGTCCTGAACTTAATGCAGTATGGTCTGCAATTTCTTCCTTGATCAAAGCCATTGTTATTACTTAAAGTATGTCTGTATCTATGATTTGTACATAAACATGTCATACTTCTGTTACTGGTTCTGAAGTACAGGAGAGACTACTACTGGAGATAATACTGCATTAATATATCTGGCACTGCTTACAATGGCTGCTGTTTCATGGGCACAATAATTGACACCTTATATTGCCTGAAAACCACCTCAATATTGACCCCCGATATACCACTGCTCTCAACTAAAATGTCATCCCAGGTTTTTCCTCTCAGGAGAGAAAAATTAAGTACACCCAGGCTTTGAAGTTCAGAAGTAGTCAGACCACCCATGTTCCTCTGAACAATTCCACAGACTCTTGCTTGCACTCAGGGAGCCGCTGCATAAGTAACTTCCACAGCAGGGGCCTCTTCATGCAAGCCTTACTCTACAAGCCACCCCATCCTGGGCACCTGGCACTACACAACCCACCCTCCCACTTTGCCTTTCCTCATCTTGGGAAGGAGTAAGCATTCAGCCCAGAAATACCTCTTCCTGGGATAACAGGTCTTCTCCCTCCTTGGCTCTCCTGCAACTTGTGCTCAATACTTTATTCCTACTACCCAGCTTGGCTCTTTTGAGTGATGCCTTTTGCATACTTTGGCCCTTATCTTGTAAGTAAAAGCTTGTATTCATTTACTGTGAGATTCTGGTGAGAGGTGCCTTTTGGAGCCAGCCATTCTTCATTGAGTGTTATCAGTGAGCCCAGACATAAATAATTTGTGGCTCCAAGTTACAGAAGGTTTGTAAGGACGAGGGGTTTCCTTCTAATCACAGGCACAATTTAAAGAGGCTGCAGAATTACCCAAGTTTTTTTTCTTCCACTAACGACTTGAAAATATTTTCCTTAAAATGTTCACTACACAGAAGTAGGGTTCAGGAAGAGCCAAATTCTGCTAGCAGCTGCCTAAGTGTAAATCCATACCAACCTTTCTGGTTTTATTTCAGTAGATTGGATTAATGTCTCAAAACACAAGACACAAAAGTTTGATCCTGGCAGACTGACCCTATCACCAGTATAACTTTCCTGAACAGTGAATCCTGTAACAGCATTTGCAGCATCTGTGGTGGTTGTCACAGGTCCCACAATGTTTGGTAACTTACATAAAATTTGAGTTCCCCATGGCATGTAAGAATGCAACAGAATTACAGCTTTATTTAAAATAATGAGGAAAAAAAAGATTCTGGTAGTGGAGAGAAAAATTTGAAAGTGTGACCCCGAGGCTCAAACCAGGGGAAATAAACAGGACCCAATTAGCTGTGTTTATATCTTGTGGCTCGTAGGTTGGAACAGCTGGAGTATTGTTGAGGTGTCATTATGTTAGGGTTGACTGGCTCAGTGTTTAAATACACGTGAATGGGTTAAATGTGGTGTCTAAATATCATGTATGCATTGTTTAGGGAAAAAAAAAAAAAAAAAAGTAAGAAAACCAGTGCATGTAGGTTTTGGTTTTATCCTCAATTTCTTTAATGCCAGTTACCGCATTTGACTCCTGTGGAAAACCTTGGAGGAAAAGCCCAATAGTACAATAGGAGAGGGCTATAGGACCTGTGTAAACACGTGTGATGCATCATCTCTTGAAGCAAATGGCAGTGTGACAGCCAATTTCTAGTGTGATGATAAATGTACCCTAATTTACTGCTGTCCCTTATGTGCCTGATCTTGCTGCCCCTTCCCTGCACATACTCTTGCCTGCAGCCTAGTCACCTGCCAGGACACTCGCTGAGTTCAGTGCTGAGTTCCCCTGCATGCTGGGGTACAGCTGCACCGCGCTGTCAGGAAGTCGCTCGGGCTGGTTTCTGCACTGGAGCCGCTTGCCAAGCAGTAAGGATGGTGGCCCTCGCCCACCCGGCCCTGGCTGGCAGGGTGGTGGGCACATCAGGAGCAGGTGTGCCTGGGAACGGTGCAGAGGTATCCGCAGGGGCTTTGGGAGGATGGGGTAAGAGCGGGTGAAATTCTAGCTCCACTGAAGTCAGTGTTGGCATGGCCAGCATTGCCATCCAGCACGCACCAGGTGACGTTTTTCCCTCTTATGCAATTAAGGAAAACAGTGTTTGAAACACAGTAGGTTGGCTGCAACCCACCCTGTTTTCTGCCCGTGATAAACTTAGGCTGTCAGTCCTTGCCTTGCTATGGTGTCGCTTCTTATTGATAAAGTTTATGGGGCTTTTATGTCATTAGCCATAAGCCTCAAATTATCAGGAGAAGTGTGCAGTTCCTTCCACTCTGCTCTGATAAATGGCAGTTGAACACACTGGCTCTGTTCAAAGCACAGCAAAGCCTCCACTGACTCCAGAGGGTCTAAGATTTCTGCTCCAGCTTCAGCTCCAGGTGCCAGACCACTTCCACTCCCTCTTGCTTTATCTGAGAGACCTAAGACACACAAGACTGAGGGTCTAAGTGACACGTTGGTGGGATTCTACCAACGCTTTTCATCTAACTGCAGTGAACTCCAATTTTGCCTTTTCCACTCTTAACCAGTCTTCTTAACCTGCTTCTTAGCCAGGGCAAAATTAAACATGAGGAAAAAGGCTTATTCAGCATTATAATTATCTACTCCCAAGCTGTATAACAAAATAGTTTACACATTTAATTGGTTTTGTCTAATATTTCCACGTATACAGTAGTCCTATTAATGAGTATCATAGCTTCATTACTGCGTATCACATTTTGCTAGTTGTTGTGTACCATAAAATAACATCAGCACATCAATAACTTAAATAACACAAATGTAAACTCATTTCCTGCTTGTTGCAATTATGATTTTAGCCTGCAAAGGCTTTTTGATTTGTAAGACCATTCACGTAACATGGAATGTAACTTTATTTGTTTTTCTTTCGTATATAATGAGACACCAAAAGCCCTTGTCATCTCTTAACAGGATATTAAAGCAGCTCTGTTTCATGAATGACAGCACAATTAAAGCTAAAAATCATAACTTAAAAAAACCCCAAAACAACCCGTTTGTACTGTACAATCTCAAATTTAAGCAAGAAAGGTAATGACAATCTTTTGCATTAGCCAGGAAACGTGATTCTCTGCCACTGGGCTTTTTTTTCTTGTTGACAATTCACAGAATGTGTATATGGGTGTAGTTATAGGTGTGTATATCCTATATAGAACAGCAGTCCCTATTTTGTTGATCTAGTTCTTCTAATTGTTTAGTTAAACTACCTAACTGATACAATTTAGAATACTACATTAACACAATTAACATCAAGTTTACATACTTGCGTCTTTGAAATACTAGGAACTTTTACACATTTTATTTGGCTTTGTAAGGACTGGAATATCACAGATAATGCAATCTACTTTGAAAGAATATGGCTGTTCTCAACTAACTCTCTAAGGTTCAGAGTGAAATACGTTTCTCCTTATATCTGTAGCTGACTTCAGAGAAGAAAGTGTCTTCTTAAGTGGTCAGTCTGATGTTACAGTACAGATTCTGCAGAGAGAGAGATATATATTTAATGCAGGATAATTCTCTCTGGACTTTAGAGTTAAGCTGTTGCAGCAAAATTACTCTGTTTAGACTAGTTTTTTCTACGCAAATCTCAAGAAAAACCTATTCCAAGTATGTTTTGTAGTATTATCTCCACATGACCAGAGGAGGGCACTTTGAACATCTTTGCACTGCCCAGAAGGCAGATGCAGAAGCACAGTGTTACCCAATGTCGCATAGTCCTGCCACCTCTTCCCACCCAGGCAGGTATCCTTCTGTCCACAAAAATCCAGAATCCGTATTGTACCACAGGGCTCTGTTCTGAAAACAGTGGGCAGATACATCACTCTCTCCTCACTAACTAGTATTCCTTCCGATTTCCCCCATTTGATTCCGTGTTGCTGCGGGTTAAATTGAGATTAACAGATAACTCTTAAAAATCACATGAGGGGAGCTGTCTCCTGCTCCTTCCTGAACATCCCCCTGTTATTAGCCCCTGGTAATTTAGCAAATATTGATCGATTTAACCCTCTATGACTTATCCTGCTTCAGAAATTCCTTGCCTTTAACTGAAAAATGCACTTAGAAAATGCACTCTCTGAGATATGTATTGCAACAGTGCATCTTTTCACATTAAACTCTTGTAAAAGTACTGCTCCTTTCTGCCTTCTGAGGGAGGCATCCCAGATCTGCTCCCCGGCAGAGTGCATAGCAGAGAAATCAATCTCTTCTCTTTTCCATTCATGACCACAGTGTGGAGTTCAGCCACTTTCTATGCAGGAAATATCCTTTTTGGTTTCATTTTGGCTAAAGGTATCAACCTTCTATGGAAAAGATTTTGATTTTGCAATCTTACTGTTATCATACAGATTTTTTTTCCACCTCTCTGCTTTGTTTTGTTCATGTTTAACACTGAAAAATTATTAGAAAGGATTTAGAAACTTTTTTTTTTTTAATTAAATGAAAGTCTCTCCTCCACCCTGGGGAAACACACTGCTTATTCAATGTACTTTTTTCCCCCTCAACATTATTCCTTTTCTCTTTTCTTTTCTTCTCTTTTCTTCTTTTTTCTTTCATTTTTTCTTTTCTTTTTTATCTTCTTTCTTTTCTCCTTTCTTTTCTAGAGCAGACAGGTACAAGAAGGAAGTTGTCTTTCATCAGCAGTCCTTTGAGATAGAGTAGAATTCAGTGAGTCCTCACCATGATAGGATCATAAACTTACTGGGTTAAACCAAGCTAACTTTCCCTAAGCTGCCAAGTTTTAGCTGCACCATACATATATGTGTTTCCTTGTGCCATTTTCTTTTCTTAGAATTTTGTTTTTTCTTGATGACCCTGAGCTATGGCTTCTCATCTCTACCACTAGTCAACCTTCCTTTCTTTTCTGGTTTTGCCAATATAGGCCTCAAAGAAAAAATGGCAGAAGAGCACAAAGTAGCTGAGGTACATGAGAGAGGACCAGATGATGTTCTGCACGTGGGAATGGCACTGGCCCTGCTGCATCCAGGAGAACACCAGGTAATTGATCACGCAACCAATCAACATCTGAGTGATCTGCGACAAGGTGATGAACATGGCAAACTTGCGTGAGACTCTGAAGCCAGCAGCCCGCAAGGCATAGTAAGAGTACATAACGGCGTGTACTCCATAGTTCATGGTCATAAACCAGCCACCGCCAGCCACCATGTCCTTGTAGGAATACCAAGAATAAAGTAACACAGTAATGTGATGGTACCAGTGTAAGAAGATGAGCTTCTGTTTCCTAAGAATAATGAATATTGTATCACCTGTAACAAAACAAAACAAATAAAAAAAGGGGGAGGGAGGAAATGAGAAACATATTGAACAATTCCAAATTTACTTCAGTGCTCTCTTCCCTTTGCTGTTGCTGGAGTATACACTATTTTGGAGCATGAAAAACCACCTCAACTCTAGATCTGAGAGCCTGTCTGATCCAACAGCCACCTTGGCTCCTAATCTCTATGTAATCTTTGGAAAACCAATGTACCCACATTTTCCTGTGTGGAGAACTACTGTTTGAAAACTCCATAGGTTTGCTTGGTAGTCCTTTGCTGCAAACATAATCCGTGAAAGTCTGAAGTGAGGTAGGTGGATGTACATGCATCACCTCTCACTGTGAGATTCTCCATTATATATTGTGACTAGAAGAGAAACGCAGCTCAACAGAGAGCAGAAAATCTGAAGAGGAAGCAGCACAGTGTCCTCCGATTCAAATGCCTACCTGCAAACTGAACCTAGTTACACTCAGTAGAGCCTTTGAGTTACTATGCGAAAAGCTATTGCATATGCAACCTACAATATTGAAAGGTATGTAATTGCAAGAAAAAATGCTTCTAGAAAGAAATTTGGTTTATGTTGAAATCCACATCCTTTTCTGCAAATTCATGTTGCTATTGTACAAAAGTAAATTTTATTCCTCTTTCCTGCTTTCTTCTTCCTTCTGCTTTTCACAACTGCACTGAGCATCTCAATTAGATATATACACATATGTATACTACTTGTTTTCTACTGTTACAGACAGTGTTTGCAAAAAGATCCCCGAGATTTGCATTTGGGGACTTATTTCTATGCATATGTATCCCAGGAAATCCAAATCATGAATACTAGCAACGAGTGGAACCAAAACTGCACTGTCTCCACAAGGTCTGTAATAAGCCATAAGGCTACCGCTTACTTCATTGGCTGCAAGATGTTGACTCACATTTTAATAAGTAATCATATGTTCCATTTATTGTTGCCGTGCAGTTCTAGCTGATGTTTTCCAGTTTTAACAACTAAATTTCCGTGGTTTTGCAGTAATTTAAGCAGCAGGAAACCAAAGGGTTCTGACACAGCAAGGCAACTGGTGTCTGTCTCTACAATTTTTATGCTGATGAATTGTTGTCCTATAATTTGCTGAATCTAATTCTCTGCTGAAAGGTAAAGACTTAGTTTTGCTGTACACCTGAAGACAGTGAATGCTGCAGCCCTCTGAGGTGTAGTAAGAGCATCCTCTGAAATGAAAGCTGGAGGGCTGCTAAATCACTGCCTCCTCCTTCCCATTGAAACAATCCTTTCTTATGCTATTAAGCCACAGGATGAGAACACATGCAGACTGGCTAGTAAGTTGGCTTTGGCATGTATATCATCAGTATCCTTAAAAAAAGAATTGCTGGAGAGATGGGAGTTTATAAGAATTAGGACTAGAAAAGCTCAGGATATTATGGGAAATTCGTTTCTATTTGGAGGAAGCAGACAGCCACAGTCTTTCAGTGTTCAGGGAGGAAGCACATTCCTGTTCAAAATCGCATGCCTACAAGTGTATTTAGGGACAAATGCTGCAGCCCACCCTTCACTTCCGTACCCATGGGGTGAGTGACTGCCAATTACACTACTCATCTTTACCTATGAGTAGCTATGGACCAGATTGCTCTTACCTCTCGACTACCCTGCTGTGCATGACTAACTTCAGACGAGCTGGACTTAAGCTCTAGAGACTAATACGTACAGAGCTTGGGGTTGGTTTTGTTAACTGTTTTTCTAAGACTATAACAAAATTTTGGCAGCACTGAGACCCTTCTTGTGCTTCCTGTGCAGACATTTCTGCTCTAAATATGCGTAGTGAGAGAAAGGGAGAAAGGGTACTCACCTAGTTCGGGTGCTTTGCTTAGCACAAATGCATATGCCCAGAATTTGCTGACAGGTCCAATGTAAAAACTCTGGTCACATACTGACTGCTTCAGGCCTTTGGTCATCAAAATGTACAGCATATAAGCACCAGTTCGAACAGCACCAAATATACTTTAAAGCAAAAAGAGAAAATGAAGAAAGTTGAGTGGCCACTTGAAATCTATATGCCATCACTTCAAATCATTATGAGAAAAAGGCCATAAATGTGCTGAAATTGTAAGTTTGAGACAGTCTTAAAAGCTGGAGCAACTCTGCTGGCTTCTAGGAAGTTATTCTGAACTCAGATTTGTAAACTGGACTGCAGCCGTATCCCTTTGTGAAAGTCTGGAATGGTAACATCAATGTTTTTTATTTCATTACAACAGGAATGATCCTTCAGTTTTCAGGGGCAGTGGGTGACATCTACTTCAGCTGAAAACAACATGCAGAGTTTCGATGCTGATGGCTGGGAGACTACAAGAAATGAGCTGATAAAGAGCTGTCCTCGACATAATCAGGACCAATTCCCTCTTCTGATTTCCTCAGAGTTTTCTCTTGTCTCTCCCTGTGCTTGTTACACTCATAGGAGCTCTGAGCACAGATAAATCCAGGCAGGGTGCACAGATTTTGATGGAGGGGTCTCATTCATGGCTGATGTTTTGGTGCGAGTGCTAACTTCATAATTCATCTCTTAAGAGGTCATTGCAAGCAGAGGAATTGACTGAATCAAGTCGTAAACAGCAGATTCACCCTCACCTCATCAAAGTGAGATGCAAGGTAACAGTGTCCTGTAAATGGGAAATGTCAAGAGATTTGCAATTGCATTAATTAGTGCAATTAGAGAGGGGATAGGTTCAGATAACAAAACATCCAACTGATGTAAGGAACAAAGGCTTCTGTCTCAGCAGTGAGGAGCTCTGCAGAAGGAACTGCCTCACTGTTTTATGGTTAAGAACATGCTTCCTCATTGTCTATTATTTCAGCTGGTTTTGAAGGCAAAAGTTGTGATGAATACTGCGTGAAACAAGCAGCTTTCAGAAAAATGGAACAAAGAAATATCCAATCTCCTTTGGGGTTGAGTATATCTTACTTTATGCCTACATCATATGTCCCTGTGCCTCCACCCAGCTCCATCTTCTCTCCCCTCTAACTTCTTTGTGACCTTGTCCTACTCATTAATCCTCTGGTTCCTGCTCTGCTTAGGTGTCTTTTGTGACTATCGCAGGGCAGCAAGCAAACCTAAACCCACCTAAAACTGACCTGTAGACACATGGGCAATGCAAGCTGCCATTTATGCAAAGTGTTTGAAATAAGGAACAGTTCATCTGAAGTTATAGATTCTCTGTTACTTGTCCTTGTCTTGTGAAGTCAGTATTCTTTAAAAAATGTGTTTTAAAATCAAGGCAGCCTCAGAAGTTGAAGTCTGTGGCAGTTCTTATGGCACTTGGTCAGACCAGATGGTTCAAGTAAGCCTGCCCAGCATAAAAACCGCTGACCTAAATTTTTACATTTTTTGCACAAAGTATTTAGATTTCCCAATCTGCAGCATATGATATAGTCAGTCAAACCTGCCTGCTACTAAGGAGAAATGCACTTTGCTCTCCCCTATCCACCGCATGCACCCTGCAACCAAGTGGAGTACTATGCTGTCCGGTGCTCTTCGGGCTCTGTCAGTGGCATCAGAGATGGGGCTCTACAGCCAGGACATGCCCGGGGAAAAGTGGTACATCCTGTCTCCCACATCATTACATTTTGATGCCTGAGCCTGTATGGTTGTATTTGCTCATGGGCTCTACTGACAGATGAGTCCTCTTGTGCTATGTGCAAACAAAAAACCATCCTGCTGTGGTGCAGGTGTACTGAAGGAGTTTAGCTGAGTGTGAGATTCCCATTAGCACTGCCCAAAGCAACGCACATATTCCCAGGCTTAGGCAAGACAGGCATTGCGTCTCTCACATTCATCCACCCCTGCATGCAGAAGACAGAGTGCAGTGTTCTTAGCATCTATGCAGCCTGTAGTGCATCCTCTCCATATTGGGCTGTTCCCCCCCAGAAATGTTGTCTCAGCATGCTTTTCTCACGTCTTTTGGGGATCGGTCCTTTTAACTTGGCAGTTCCAAAGCCTGCAGGAGGAGTTTTGAAATGAGATGCAACTCGTTCCATGTCTTCTCTCTGGTGTTTAACACATGCCCTTTTTTTCTCAGGAGTTGCATTTCTCATTCCCAAGAAGACAGGAGATCCTGACAGAGATGAGATTTGATCACTTCCTGAGGCAGTGAACTCCTCAAGCTAGCCAGGGCAGGCTGCTGCTTGCTCCCATATTTTGGGTGGTGACAAAATTGGGGAGGAAGATAAGGTAGAATAACTAATGATATGAGGGTTCTCCCATTAGCAAATACCTCAGTGCGGGTATTAAAAGTGGGGGGAAATGAAAATTTTAAATCATGAAATCAAATAGCTGGAAGCAATATGCCTTTCCTTGTAAAGAAGATGTATTGCTTTTCTAAAACTTCATTTATTATTAAATTTTTAAAACCAAAAAGAATTCTGTGCCATGAACACCAACTTAGATGAGAAGAGCGTTCGTTTGAGCAACAGGCAACAGACTTAACTGTAAGCGACTGAGTATGGACACCCAAGGATTTAATCTGGACCAATAACAGAGCCAAAGAGTATTTGCCCTGTGGGGATTACAGAGTTTCACTTTGCTGTCCTTGAGATTATAATGACGTAACTCTTCCTGTCTTTCTGTTTAGCAACGACTGCAGAGCTCTCCTTGGAGTGCGCGCATGCACACACACACCTGCGCTCACACTCACTCGCACTCGCACACTCACTTTTCTTCTACAGTTTCGCAGTACGGTGGCTTCCTCTAGTTCCATGACTCTGAAAGAAGTTGTATTGGTTTTGCGTGCAAACCCAATACAGAAGTGACTCCAGCACTGCTCTACATGGTGTGAGTCAGACTAATTTGAATTTTTTATCAGTTAAAACCAAGTTACATTTTTGCATAATTCACAAGGGAAGGCTTTATAAATAAGGAGGATGGCAAACTGGAAGTAACTGATTCAATTACCTAAAAAGATGCCATGAGCAGGTAGCTGTTTACGAGATCTGCTGCATGCCAAAACACTACCTTGCCAACAAGCACACGCCACTGGAGACAGAAAAAGATCTAATGCACGCCTGCAAATGTGCCTTGGACCCAGAGAGCCAGGACTGCTTTTTTTGCCTCTACCACTTAATCTTGTTTGTTCTGTAAGGTAAGATCAACCAACAAATTTCTATCTTGCAAAGACATGATGTGCAGCAGAGTGATGACATTGCTTGCTCAGTAAATCACTTCTGCTTCATTTTGCCCTCGCCCTGCTTTCTGCTGTAGCTTTTGTGAGGTATTGAAATGAACTGCTTACCAAAGCAGTCTGTCTGGTGGGAATCATCTGCAGGGATTTTAGAAATAAGGTAGCAGTGAATTACTGTACAATTACAGCCTTTTGCAACTAGAGAGACAGATCAGAAACAAACTGCACTGCTTAATGCAGCTTTCTCATCTATTCAGACTCAAAATGTCCTACATTCTCCTCCCTTCAGGCAGTGACTTCTCTGGTAGTTTAACAAATACCTAATTGGTATTTTACTGTCTGTAATATAATCAAAACACATCCATGAGTAAAATAAAAACTAACACTTTTCCCTCACAAACTTGTCTTCAAAATACATCCCATGTGTGGGTTAGGTACAACATTGAGAAGGAGGGAAACTGAGGGCTGGGGAGTTAGCTGATGGGAAGACAAAGCAGCTGTCTGTGGCTGAAGTCTCTTACTGCTTTCTGTTCCTTCCATCCTACTTACTGGGAGGGAGTGAAGTTTCTTAAAAGCCTGAGAGGGCAGCAGGTAGCTCAAGACTTCAGCTCAACCCCAGCTGCCATTGTAGCAAGCTCAGCTCCTCCTCACAGTGAAGCGGACACAGCCCATTTTTGCTAGGGCTGCTTTCTATGCAGACCCAGCACTGCACTTGGCTCCTGACACCTCTGGACATCCTGGTCTGGTATCAACACTGCAGAATTAATCAGGGAATGTGACTTCTACATAAAAAATAATAATAATTAAAAAATCAGCACAGAATATAGCAACATTTCCTAAAGGATTTTAGTGCTGTGATAATCACAGAGTGGAAGTTCTCTGCTCTGGTTTGCATCTTAAAAAACCCTTAAACTAACCATGCTAACACACCATGCAACCTGTATCTGCAGAACTACGTAAAGATGGCATTGAAGGGGATAATAGTCTTTACATTCACCTTAGGCTATGGCTAAGGTGAATGTAAATTGTGTTAGCTACAAGTCAGAAGTGGAGTATATTTATTTTTGAAATCATGCCATCCTGCATACACAGCATTAGCAGAGAGCAGCAGGGAGCCTGCAGACAGCACGATCCTGCTGTGCTGCAGAAAATTAAGGGTTGGTAAGGACTTCAAGCACAGCCCTCCTTATCCAGGCCCACAGGCTGTTCAGCATGGCCTAAACCACAGGCACCCAGCTGGTTTAACCAGTCTCCAAGGTGTCGGACTATCCTCTGCCACGGGTGTGCTGGGCTAGTCTGGCAGCGAGCTGGCCACGCACCCAGCCGGAGCTCCCACAGGTTTGGCGACAGCTCCCAGCCTGGGGCCTGGCTGGAGGAGAGAAGAAATCTTCATTCTGCTCCAACCTGCTTACATGGCAACTCACAAGAGTCCCAGCAGGTGAGTCTGTGCCCTGGGGGCATAGGGAGGTGGTGGCGAGCGTGTGGTCTTCCTCTGTGAAACCCGTATGGAACAGACAGTGGTCCTGGGAAAGTGGCCGAGATCACCTTACGTGAGGAGTCACAGCCCTCAGACTACAGCCTGCTTGTACTGAAACAGTGAGAGAAAAGAGAAGCGGGTTCTTTGGGTTTTGTTGTTGGTTTTGGTTTGTTTTTTTGTTTTTTTTTTCATTTTAGCATGCAAAATATTTATAGAGGAAACACTCTGAATTCAAAAGCACTGTTTAAAGGTCAGCAGGGGAAGAACACGGAGTTTCCTACACCTTCCTTCGTGACAAATCAAACCTCATTACCCTTCTGTTCTGTTCAGCAGCAGTATTTCAGTGGTCAGAT